TCTTGGATCTCTAACACTGAAAGGACATTCCTCCATAGGAAAAGGGATATGATTTGATACAGATGTTGAAGCACCTTCAATCATTTCTATATCTTCACTTCCTACCAATCTTGTTGCTTCTTGTAGTGGTAAATTGAATTGATGCATTGCAAGCATTAACTCCCTCAATTGCTCTTACATTTGTGCCATTTCACTCTTCATTTCAGCAAGTTCTGTCATGATAACTCTTAGAATAGAGAAGATGTCTAATATTGCTCAAGACAAATAAAAGAGAAGACTTGTGAACAAAGAAAATACTAGGACAATATCAGTTTAGAAGAGGGTAATCCGTAACTTCTAATATGCTTGTATCTTATCAAAAAAAAGAAATAATCCACTCTTAATCAAGATTAGACAAAGCTTTGATATTGTAGGTATATTCTTTTCAATCTATCTAGGACAAGAACATGATAAAGACAAATAAACAAGTGAGACTTCTCTCATAGAAAGATGAAAAAATAGAAATAATTTGATATATATATATATATATATATATATATATATATATATATATATATTTTAAGAAAGAAACTGGAATGGCTATTGCCAAAAGCCAAGAAAACTAGAGATCCTTGAAACTAGATCAAAAGCAAGAAAGGGGTTGACAAGAGTGAAGAAGGCTTCACTCTTGTCTCGATATATATACTATCTAACTAGGGGCTATGTGGCGACGTTCTGTAGGACCTCCAATATGTGTTGACTTTATAGGACACATGCCTTGGCTTATAAGGCAAGTTTTTCTACGTGTGGGCCACATAGTTAGCTTGGTCTTTAAGCAACAACATGTGTGGCACATGGCCAACTTATTGACCATGTTTCTAATCCCAAAGAGTCAATTAAAGACACCTATAAAATCAAAGTAATATCTTTGAAGCTTCTAGAAAGCTACCATAACTAATACTATAGAATTAATTTACTTTTATTTACTTTTACTTACTTCTACCTATTTATACATGTAATTTTTAGCTTACATGTATATGTCTGTGACAATAGCCAAGAGATAAATACCATACCAGTCATGTCTTCTCAACCGAATATCTCATGAAGACAACCCTGAGATAAAGAATCTCCTGTACCACAAAGACGACGGAGAAAAGCTAGTAACAAGTTGCTAATAATTGTCTTTGAGGTAGAACCTGCCTATGGTGATCTTCGCGAAGGAGTGTTTGTATGGCTTTTTTACAATGAAGACACAAAAATTCATGCCTGGTCAAAAATCAAAGGTATAGGACACCATCATTGATTACAAGGTCCAATGAACTACTTACCGCACAAACAACAATTGGAGTATATTCCAAACACTATGCGATAAATTTTCAACTACTTACATTGGTACTGACTCGTAATAGGAGTGGTTCTTGGAGACCTCGAAGCTAAAGGAGATGGTGATATCAAGGACATACACTAAGAAGTTGTAGAAGATTCTAGAGAAGCTTTGTACTTTGTAGAAGCTACTTGAAAAGTTTTCAAGCTCGTGGAAGCTCCTTGAAAAGCTTCCTAACTTGTAGAAGCTGCTTGAAAAGCTTCCTAATTTATGAAAGCTACTTGAAAAGCTTCCTAGCTTGTAGTATATATAAGAGCCGAGACTTAGGAGATCCTCAGTCTCGACAACACACCTCTTGGAGCTCTAGCTCACCTTTCTAGTGTTGTTCTTGTACTCATCTGATTAATCTAGTTCTTGCCAATTCTTCTTGAGCTTCTTGTTTAGATTTCTAGTTAGTATTCTAAATTCGTGACTTGATCTTCCAAGTATTCAAAGCTTAATGGATTTTACTAAGTATAAGAATATTTGCACAAACATCCTTTTGTCCTCACAACTTCTAGATCTCCAATTACTTGTGGCATTTGGTGTGATATCCTATACAACTTTTTAAGTATAGCTTCTTATTGGTGATTGAGAAGGGTGACAAAGTTGTTTGCCACTACTTTCAATATGACCAGCAATGATGCTTCTTTGTTTTCAATCACTTTAGGGTACATGGATTGTACTTATCAAATATGCAAGCATAGATTGAAGTCTAATAACTCGAGCCTTTGTTTAGTAGAGATTAGGTTTTAGAGAGTATAAGAGTATGGTTTGCATCAAATTGTTGTGAAGACCAATGTACAAGGTTTATTATTTGGTTGAATTGAGTGCCTGGTAATATTCAATAGAATCATATAGACCAAAATATGCGACACAATATTCAATCTTAAAGAACGTTCAAGAAAGAAAAGTCAACTTATCTTCTTTTTAATCTTTGAAAGTACAAAATAGAAAACTTTCTTCCAAGCATTTTGAAAGATCTCTTCTATTGGAATTTCTAAATAAAAGAGACAAAAGTTCTTCCTCTTATATGCCAAGTTAGCATTGTTGTTACATACATAATTATTGATAGACTAATTAATATGTTTATAACATAACAAATTAAGTCTAATTGTTCTCAAATATGTTTTCAACCTAACATGTGCTTTTTTGCTCCTACAAGTAACAACATGTCTAAAATGACAAAGACGGTTTGTCCATGCTACAATAAAAATAAATTGGAAAGAATTAATTCAAGTATAGGTTAGATATTGAACTACTTCTTAATACATTGTGGGCTTATGTTTTGCCTTGAATGTATTCCATATTTTTTTTATAGGCTTCTTTGGATTTAGCATATATCACTAGTAAAAAAATATATATATATTAGTGGTTGTTGATGAAGATCTCAAAAATAAAAAATAAAGACTAAAAAATATTTTTTTATAAGACAAAGCACTATATCATATGCCATTCTTTTATGAAATCTTCTCACATATCCATATCATTGAAATATATTCCATTGTAATTTGGTATGATGTCATATCTTTATTTCTCATAAAAACAAATACAATAAAAAATGTGATATCAAACATAGTAGATCTAATAATATGGAGCAACCACAATTTCTAGATGTTTTTGCAATAGATAGTATTTAAGAAGAAGACCTCATGATTAATGCACACAAGGTCCACTAGTTTAAGATGGGTAAAAAAAAGATGAGTGATCCTCTCTTTAATATCCACCTTGTATTTGATATTCTATTTTTCTTTCGCAAAAACATTGATCAACACATCAAGCGGCATCTTTCCACTCATTTATTACTTTGTTATCTTCTATTTGATATTGTAAAGTTTTTTGGTTGTGATGTTGATGTTGCTATCCTCCTCCCACAAGGTGGTAAAAATATTCTTGATTAGAATGCTTGACTCTAAGATTGCATAGAAGGCAGCCTTTTATTCTTCAATTAATTGTTGATGCATAGCTTGACTTGATGTGTGGAATGAAGATTCTTGGTTATGTTTTGCATGGGCAATAAAAACCTCCCACTGACTATGAGCTTTTTTGTGAGTAATTAGACTAAAATAGCATACATACATAAATATTGAAGTCTTTTGTTTTCTTTGACCTTTAGTCAACTTGTAAAGGTTTTGGTATATTTCTCCTTTATCACACTGGTAGTATACCTTCTAGCAATGGATTTTGGAATGTTTCTTGAATTGTTCTATGGTGCTGGCATAGCCTTACGAAGCTGCAAGGTGGTTGAAAGCAATTTCCATGTTGTCCTTGGAGAGGATGACTTCTTGCAACACGACTTTCAATGGTTCTAAAAGCATCCTAGAATCTTAGAAAAAAAAAATTTGCACTCTTGATGTAGGTCTTTTCAAATGATAATGGTTTCAAGATGAGGCGGTGGTATGGCAGTAGTCTTAAGATTAATGAGTTTAAGGAAGTTGTTTGAGAAGGGAGGTATGATGGTGTTATTGTCTTTTCCAAGATATTAGCTTATTGCTCATGTCTAAGAACTCCGTGCACAAATTGCACAACTAAGAACTCAATGGAGAGTACAAAATAGAGGAGAATATAACAATAGGGTGTAATTGGAGAAGTAATAGAAAAATAGGGGAGATTGGACATTTTTTCACCATTGGATGGTAGTTCTTTTTGTAAAGAGCTATCAAAAAGGTGTATCCTAAGCAATTTGGGATGTGTGTCCCTAATCAAGTCTATTTATTTGTGTTACATCCATTACATAACAACAATAATTATAGTAATATTAATAATAATAATAAAATATATAAATTATTTTTTTAACTCATTTCACACTAATATACAAAATAAACTATAAACAAGGGATTATTTTTAAATGAATAAACAAACAAGTAATAAAAAAAGTGCAAGCTTACAAAAAATTAAGTCTTCATTTGAAGTTAAGGATTTAGTAATATTGGCAAATAAATTTTAATGAGAAGAGAAGTTGTTAGATTAGGTAATTTAAAAGTTATAATAATAGTAAAAGAAGAAAACAGGACTTTTGATAATTATCTGTATCTCTGACATCTTTCAGCTTTAATACGTACAATGACAGAATCTATAATTGATTTATATATTACAAAGTTATAAAAATTTGGAACAAAATCAGAAACACACAAAAAGAAAATAAAAATAAAAATAAAAATAAATAAATAAAAAGTAGTTAAAAAGTCAAATTTGCATTTGAAACAGTTGAAATGTATAATTAAATAAGTAGAAAATTTTGCTAATCTTTAAAATCGTAAAATCGTCTCTGCTCATCGTTGCTGTTTACACCATGAGACACTTCGGAAAACAAACTATTGATTATCAATTTGTAGAACTATGCCATTTTGGCATTAAATTATTTGTGTACACAATACAGTCAAGTAACGATAGTTAGTTATATGGTAATTGACATATGAAATTATAGCGAAGTGGAGTCGATCATCCAGAAATATACGAATTTAAGTGATAACATAATGCAAGAAACCGCACACCTTCCTACATCTCCAACTGTAACATTTGTTGTAAAATAAATATCAAATTCAATTATAATTCATCCAGCTTAAGTCGTGGCTACTATGATTTCACTTTAAAATGTTAAATTAAATAGCATGTGTGCTATTTAGTGTCATCATCGTAAAACACTCTTACAAAAACATGGATGATCAGTGATAGACCATAAAAAAATTAATTAAAAAAAGTGCAGAAGGTTCAAGTTATACCATAGAAAATGAACACATTCGCTACTAATTAAACCAATATTTGAATGGATAGCTCATGAATCGAAAAACGGCATTCTCGAGTATTCAACTACCCAGATAATTACAATCGTTGTATAACAACCTCAACTTCTTCGGGTGTGTACAAATGATACTTGGGAGCCACCTTAGCAATATCCACATTACAGGAAGTTACCTGCTATGCCAAACAACTGTCTTGCTCAGGTGCCAAGATTCAGGTACAACTCGAGACATTCCAAAACCATCACGAGGATAACGAGAGGATTGAAGCAAAACTATCAGGTAAAATCTTGATAAAGGACCAACCGAACAAATGCAAATAAGAACAACAAAATGCATCCAGATATCTAAATTGGTTATCGCTGTGATTACCTTTTCTTCCATGACTTGCTTCAAGGTAGACAACGCCAATGTCTCGGCTTCCTCCAGCGTCATGTTCTGCAATAATAATCAATAATAATAAATGTAAGATGAAACATCTCAAAACCAAAAATTTTGGCATAGGCCACCAAAGACAATAAAGCAACCCAAGTCCACTAGCACGATTACCTAGGCTAAGTAATGTATGCAGAACTTTCCTATACTACACGATTGGGAACAATGGAATGTTATTCATAATATTATGTTATAGATAAGTTACAAAATCCAAAAGTGACGTACCTTGTTGAAATGTTCCTGAAGGGAAGTATCGGCACCTTCTGATCCTGAACCAATTGCCTTAGCATCACATTGCCAAAATGTTCCAGATGGATCTGTGTGGTACCTGAAAATGCAATCAAATACTTTAAGTAAATTTCCCAGGTCAGTGCATCTAACAAAAAGAAAAGAAAAGAAAAGAAAAGAAAAAAACAGGTTCAAAGAGCACCACAACGGCAGAAAGAGAGTCCCTTACAAGCATGGTCCACTCTCATCATGGCCAGCAATGAGCAGAGAAACTCCGAAAGGACGTGACTGCACACAAAACGCACAAAAGGCTTAAGACGTGGGCAACTCTCGGACATTATGCAAGGATACAATTACAAACACCCTTCTCACGAAAGAAAGAGCTCCTTCCAGGGCTCAGGATTTCGACCAAATACCATTGATTCTTCGTCGCCTTCCCCAAAACGTAAAGCCAGATCACACAGGGCTTGTGTAGTAGACTCCACACTCATAGGCTCATTATACGAGAACCTATGATTCTGCAGCGTCAAACAAGCAAGCTGAAGGTAAACTAAATGTCGATCTGATTTGTTACAATATAATACTCACTAGCACTAATCATGCTGAAGGCTCAGTCGGAAAATCAGGAGGCACATGTAAGATGCTCATATCGAGGAGTTATCCAGATTGATCATATACCACAGTAATTTCGATAAACTCAACTTTACACGCTACTTTTAGGGTTCAGAGAGTACATTAAAATTTCGATGACAAACAAAATTTCTGAAGCTCTCAGTTTCATCCTAACAGAAGCGTGTATACCAAAGATAGAACAAAGACCTGAGTTTCCACACGGCCATGTTCAACAAGTGTGCGAGCATCCGCAGTGAGACCACTCATGGCACACCCAATATGTTCATCGATTTCCATGATCTTCTCGACACTGGTGGGTTCCTACAAGCCCACATTTTAAGATGACTCTGGATAATTTAGTTAGTGACAAGAGAGCTGACTGACTCCAATAGCAACAATGAGGGCAATAGAAAGTACATAAATTTGAAAAAGAATGTATCCACCGAAAACCCACACAAAATCGGGGATACGTTCAAACTTCCCCACAAAGCCTAATTAATACAGAATCAAGATGAAGCAGGTTAAGAGGCAATCGCATCCCTCAAATAAATCGCTGCAGAGTCTAGCGCAGAGCCTACGCTGAAAACGTACTTCAAAAATCGACTTGAGAAAGGAAGCGAGAAAATCAACTTCTGCGACTCACCAACAAAACTGAGGTTATTCGCTTCTCGACGGCCAAAACAACTCCCTCCTTGGTCTTCAATCCCACTGCCGTGGAACCAAGCTGGAATCATCTTCGTCAACCAAAAATCAGTAGAAAGCACAAACTCGCAGCAGGTCAAATCATGCTACTTGTCCAACTTCATAGGTAATCCAAGCAGGGAATAAACCACGTAAACAAAGTGACTAATTGATTCCCAAAGCCATGATTCCTGCTTGGATCCACGGATACAATTTAAAACTAAGTAAAACGGCGTGTTGGCCAAGTAAACCCAGCTGATACGTAATTTGCCAATGATCATTTCATCACTTTAATCCGTTCCTTCGCGTAAAGCCGACATTCAAACCTAGAGTACTCGAATGCCATATAAAGTCGATACATTCTTGAAAATACAATGAAATGCACATTACACACGCACCTTAATAGCTTCAATGGCGTACTCCACTTGAAAGAGGCGCCCCTCGGGAGAAAACGTATTGACACCTCTATCATACTCACTCCTATGTAACCACAAAACACAATAATCAATTCATCTATCATGCAATGCGGTCGACACCCCCAACATATCCCCTGATTTCCTTTGCACTCACTCCAAATGTCGAACATATGCTGCATATGACAGGAAGACTTCAACATCGCACCGCCAAAAATACCAATCAAGCTTCCGTATCCCAGGTACTGCTCATTGAACAAAACCAAACCCAAGTACAGAAAAAGCGAGGTTTTTTTGTTCAAAAAAATTGGGTGATGAAAAAAAACCCAAGTCTCAAACCTGGTGAGGAACATGGTGGAGGCTTGGCTGATGAAGATGAGCAAGGTTTGGGGCCAAGTGAAGAAGCAGAAAGCTCTCTCTCTCGCTCTCTATGTCGCAGCAATCTGTGCCTCGGAACCCTACAATCACTCAAAGCTCTCTTTGAGCTGTCTGTAGCTCTCCCCCTCTCTCGCTCTCTCACTCGCACACATCCAGACAACCTTATTGATACCCTGTATGTTGGATTTAGAACCGGTGATCATAATGAAGCCCTGCCGTGATACCCAGGATCGGGTATCTATATCAGAGCTCTGCTCGTGTCAATCCCTCTTTGATGTGATTAGTTCAGGTGGTGCTTTGTTTGTTTTGCATTAAAATACCCACAAAACATTTTTAAGATAAATAAAATAAAATAAAATAAGTCTTAATAATTATACTTCCCTCCGTCTTTATTGCTCGCCCAATCCTTAGAATTTGGTGCATATTTACAAATATAAATATTCATTGTGTACATAACAAAACATGTACCAGTTATTATTTTATTACATTTAATCAATTATCATACTATCAATTAATAAATGTTATTTTATCCCGTTCTAATTTAATGAATTATTGTTGTGATAATTTTGAAATTTGATTGTAAATAACTTACAAGTAACAAGCATACATAATGAATTATATTTCTATTTTAAGATTGTCTTCATATTTTTTAATTTATTAAATATAGAAGGTTATGTCAAAATAATAACTGCTGTTTTCTACGTATACTAAAATTATATTTTTTGCTTTCTACTTTATCTTTTATACTTTAATTCTGAAAAAACAGTGAAGAGAACATATTTAAGTGCCATATTAGGTTGTTGATATTAACTTTTTTTTATTATAGTATAAATTTTGCAAATGTATACAATGTTGATTCATTCGGATTATTTATCTTTATTTAATTTTTTTTGTGCTTATTTTATGCGCTTTTTTGATAAAGATGCAAACTTGTACAGATTTATATTAAACAGTTTACTATTATATTAAAACAACATTAATATTATCACACTATGGCACATGGGTCACACCATCTGGTTAGAGGATGCAGCCATGAGTGATTTAATTTGGGTCCCTTATATTTGGCTACCATGCCCTTACTTTCATAGTTTGTAGCTTTTAAATTTTGAATCTCCTTGGGGCACAAACGCACAACTTTTGTAGACGAGTGGATTGTTTTGTTCCGAGGTCAAGGGAATTGTCCCACCATGTATTTAAAGAATGTTGAAGTGTTGCAAAATATCCTGGATAGATGAATAAGTTTTGAATAGATGTATTGTCTTTTGGATGAATGTACACAAACATTCACGTGTAAGGTAGACACACATAATTTAAATTTAAAAATAAAAATAAAAATTGCCGTGAGAATAATTTGTAAGATTAATTAAATATTTTGACATGAATCACCGTTTAAAAAAATTATGATAGAGACAAGTATATAAACGATACATAAATCACTTTTTTGTTGGGTATTTAAGAATTTATAGTTTGGTACTGAGATTATTATCAAGCAATCAGCTTTCTTTTCTTTAAATTATATTTCCTGTGAATCCCTCAAAAAAAATTCATAAATTTTCATACATTTTGATTATTATTGTAAACTATGATTAATGTTTGCAGGATTACTTGTTTTAAAATAAAACGTTTAAGATATTAATGTTAAACGAATGTATCCATTTTTACAATCTAGCACCGAGATGCCTCCTGTTTCGATTTTTTGCAGTTGTAAAATTATCGTGTAAGGAAAATACATTAAAATTTTTGATGTTGCAAAAGCTGGAAATAAATCTAAATTATTATCTTTTAGTTTTTAAAATTTTATTCTTGAAAGGTGCTAGAATAATTATAATATATTAAAAAAAATAACATTGTATTTCTTCAAGTTGTATTTGATAGTTTTTCCCTGAATATTATTCACCGAGAAATGTTAAATCCAAATAAGTTAATTTTAAAGTGAAAATGAAAAAGATAAATACAAAATAACATTCAAAATAAGTAGAAATCATTAGAATATCACATGGTTGACTATTTAAGTTTTTATCTATCGTTTATTTAAATAAGTATTCAATTTAGTATATAAAAATATTTGTAATTATTGTATTTGTGTTGTGGCCATGCAGTATTGAAAGAACATTTATTTAAATAATAAAAGTAAACAGTAAATAATTTTTCGGTGACAATCATGTAATTTTTATGAAGTTTTCTAAGTTAAGGATGCATTATAATTGTTGTGCATATAAAGTCAAAAAAATTAATAACGCTAACACGTCCATCAAGTACAAGAAATCGTTATGACAAGTAGATTTGACATGATAAAATATTATTTCTTACTGTTTAATTACAAGTATCTTCAACACAATGTTTTTCAAATAAATAAATTTGTAAAAATATTTTTTAAAATTATATATATATATATATGTAAATATGCATGTCGCATTAAAAAATTAAATGTCACTGAATGCATTAGGCTTGTTGATTCAAATAACTCAATATGGATTTACTAAAAACTCCTGAATAGAATCCATCATCCGTCACATTATAAGAAATATATATATATATATCCCCTCCTTGGACGAGAACGATGCTAATAATACCAAGGGCCATGAATCAGGCCCTGCATCAAGTCCTCAAACGGCCCTTGGAAGCGAGGGGCCAAGGTGTAGTGAAGGATGAGTTGAAGTGAAGGATGGGTTAGGGTTTGGGGCAGTGATCTGAATTCGCGTGTTTGTGTGTGTGTGAGAGTGTTTGTGCTCTGGCAACCTCAATTCCATAGCAGTGATCGATCCCTCATCGCCATGCTTCTCCGGAAGTATGAATCTACGACTCCATCGCTTCCTTTGCACTGATGCCTGCTCTGGCTTTCCTTAGAAGTTTTGATTGACCGACTGGTTGATTGATTGATTGAGTGATTGATAGATAGAGAGATAGATAGATAGATAGATAGATAGATAGATTGATTGATGGAGTGGCAATTTGGGCATCACTTCCAGGCCAATGCTATTTCTTCCACCTTCTGTAGATCGCTTCGGCACTCGAGAATCTAATGGACTAGTTTATTGCTTCTTTTTCCCCGCGTGGTCTTTGTGTAGAATTGAGTTGGAGGGAAGAATTCACGTACGCATTTAGAGTCTCGTCTGTTCAAGCCTGCTTGCGTTTTCAATTCGCTGATTGCGCTCAACAAAGTTGGTTTTTGTTTTTTTGTTTTTTTGTTTTTACTTTTTACTTTCCTTCCGTGACGTTTGATTTCCGAAATCAGAGTTGATGCACGTCTTATTCGTCATTTCATGTCTAGTTTTCTTAATCCTGTTTTTTCAATTCATTTGTATTTGTAACCTAACTTACTTGTGTGAAAAGGATCGTGGTGAATTGTGGTAGAGAATTGGTTCTTATTCAGCATGTCCTATCGTATTTTTCTTTCTCTTCACCCCATAGTTTTCGACTTTGATCCGTATTCAGCAATTTAGAGGTTGAATCCAACATCGATGATCTTTCTCTTTTCTTTGTCATCGAATTGGACAGATTGTAGACTGGAGAAATCGAATTAGGTTACTTTCTTTTCTCATGGGCGGGTATTTAATTGGTGCTATCTTACAGTGTGCATTTCGGGCGCTATGGGGCATTGTCTTTAACAATCAGCTTTTCTCTCTTTAATCCGTGATCGTCGAATTATAGGTTATTTTCTAATCGAGCAATCAATTGCATTTGCTGTGTCGTAGGTGGTATTTGTTGTTACTTATTTGATCAGTTCATTCCAATCAAGGGATTAACGGATAGGCACAAGAGGAGAGTGTACCTAAGATCGGGGGAGGAATGAAGTAGCGAAGTCAGGATGCATCGGGTGAGCAGCACTGGAAACACTGCAAATTCCACTCGTCCTCGCAAGGAGCGGCGCTTCACCTATGTTGTAGGCGACTTCAATGACTCAAAGGTATGTGGGCTATTTCAGAGGCTTGCTCTCGAAGACCAGGTCTTATTTGTTTCGGTATTTTAGGGTGACAATTCCGTGCTTGTTCGAGGTACGGTAAATACCAAGATCGCGATCCAATGAAGCTTGGTCTTTCAGAACCTTTCAGAACCTTGTCACTGACCTGTCTTGCGGTAAACTTATCATTTGTCTTGTTAAGAGGTTTGCTGGCCAGTGCTTCTATTCAAATTGTCTCTACGTAATTTCCATATATTGATCGAATCATTCGGCTTGCAGCATTGTTCAGGGATCAATTGTATAACTGGCCTGAATGGTTCGAAAGGGGACCAGGGATATGAGTATTTATTTAGTGGCAGTCGAGATGGAACTTTGAAGAGATGGGTGCTTGGGGCTGATGAGGCTGTATGTGGCGCCACCTTTGAATCCCACGTTGACTGGGTATCGGCTCATCTTTTCACTCTAAACTGCCATTATGAATCCACTTGGAAGGGGTGATTGAGCAATACCACTTGCACGGTCATTCTTTTTGATCTTTGCAAATTCTACGAGGCAATTACTGTGTCAGAACTATTGGTGGGTGTAGGCGACGTTAAAATCAAACGGCTACTAATACGCATTACGGATTCTTCTTGGTCTGATGGATTTAATCTGCACTCTGTGAACGTGAATGTGTGAGGTGAAATGTTGAAATGGTCTTGCTGAACCTTAATTTATCACATTTTCCCGTTGTCTTCTTTATGGTGTTCTTGTTCATCTTCATGCTGAAAACGCATCGAGTTAAATATGTCGATTGATGTTTTTCTCCAGGTTAATGACGTGGTGGTCACTGGCGAGGACACGCTTGTTTCCTGCTCCTCCGACACCACACTGAAGGTTTGGTTATTTTCTCAGCTTAGAAAACAATGTCTTGCTTTTTGTTCAATTAGTGTTCTAGGTTAAGGTTGGTGGCTAATTTACACACAATGAGGGTAGGAGGAGTAATACAACGCTTTTTTGGATGTTCAGTGAGCATTTTACGTCGAAACTTAACTGCGAGCTTGGGTTTGTGCTTGCAAATAGACGTGGAAGCCATATTCCGACGGCGAATGTACCCGGACCTTTCGGCAGCATTCTGACTATGTCACATGTCTTGCTGCCGCGCGTCATGTAAGTTAATTAAAATCATCAACTGCAGTTTGAGTTGCACACGTTTGCATTGGGATTCAGCTGCAGTGCAGCCTTTATAAAAAAAAGTCATTGTGAGGTCAGTGAATGTTCTGGTTTTTAACGTGTGTGGATTTGAGCGTTGGTACCTAACATCATGATTGTTGTGTTATTTTGTATTTTACATTCATTTTGCTTTAAGCTTGAATTTACGCTTTTAGATGGATGTGCATATGCAGAGTAATACAGTGGCTTCTGGTGGATTGGGTCGGGAAGTTTTCATATGGGACTTAGAAGCAGCTATAGTGCCAGTCGCTCGAGCGCACAATGAAGCCAATGAGGATGGCAACCATGAGGGAAGTTGTACCTCAGGTGGGCTTTTGCCATCCATGAATTCCTAGTGATTCTTCTGTGAATTTCCCTTGAGTATACGTCACATAATCCTCACAAGTTGCTTGCATATTAATTATGTTCGTGACGAATGATTCTTCTAGTTTGATGTGTTCTGAAGATGAATTATTTCAGGTGATCGTTCAATTACCTCAAACAATCTTGTCACAGCTACTCCCGCACAAAATCTCCAACAAGGTTATGCTCCTTTACCTGCAAAAGGACACAAAGAGTCTGTATATGCTCTTGCCATAAATGATACGGCAACCATTCTGGTCTCAGGTGGTACTGAAAAGGTCAGTTGACTCTCCCCTCTTGTTTATATTTGCCATCCTCGAGGTTCCACTGAAGCATATTTATTGTTTGCGATGAGCGCGTTTTCTATATTTCTTTATTCTTATGTTTTGGTTTTCTTATTTTTGGGTTTATCTATGTGTGCGTCTGTAGGCTGTCCGAGTGTGGGATCCAAGAACTGGAAGCAAGCAAATGAAATTGAAAGGCCACACGGACAATGTTCGGGCTCTCCTTCTAGATCCTGCTGGCAGGTGGATGCGAGGAGTGGATATTATTTCATTCTTGTCGATGAAATTGCTATTCATTTTTTAGTTTTTTTTAGTTTTTTTTTAGTTTTTTTTAGTTTTTAGTTTTTAGTTTTAAGTTTTAAGTTTTAAGTTTTTTTTTTTTTTTTTTTTTTTTTTTTTTTGTGTTTAGTTTTTTTTTTTTTTTTGGGTTATATTAATCGATTAGTAATTTAATATCCCGGCTTAGGCTCTCATTTCTTGTTTGCTGGTTGCAGACTTTGCTTGTCAGGATCGTCAGACCATATGATACGGTTAGTTACATAGCCATGTATTTTAGTTCATCATCTGTTGTTCGTGAATGGATATCGATGTGGAACACTAAAGACTACTTTGCGTGGTCTTCAAGGATTTTTTTATGTGAAAGATCCTGGAGTTAATGCTTGAGGTTATCTTTATCTTACTGAAATTAATTGCAGCTCACGCAATAATAGAATTAGAAGTCATTTCTTTTTGTGTAGGATACAAATTGAGAAATGATTTTAGTCTGAAGTATTGACGGTGCAAATTTATCTTGTTTGAGACTTTTTTTTAGAAGTCTCTGGTGGATGTAGATTGTTTATTTGGTAAGGTTAATATTCCACGTTGAAACATTCTTCCTCGTAGTGGTTGTAATTTTTCTTCCTACTCATTAGAAGTCCCTTATTTTCATAATATGCAGGCTTTGGGATTTAGGACAACAACGCTGCATTCATTCTTATGCAGTTCATACAGATTCTGTCTGGGCTCTTGCAAGCACGCCTTCCTTCAGTCACGTGTATAGTGGCGGTCGTGACTTTTCTGTACGTTCCTACAAAGGCCTCCTTTAGTATTTCGCAGATTTCAGTGCTTTCAAATTGCGATCATTACTTTTTTAGCATCACCACCTTACAAATGCCCATGTACATATTTCAGCCTTTCTCTGCCACCGTTGCGAATGGTTTTCATGAACTATTTGTACATCTGCCGTAGTCTTGCTATGCTCTCAGTCATCAATTGTTAACGTTGATATCTTGAGGACTGCTGTATCCACTTTCGATACTGTACTATTCCGTTAAGGGACTTCAGATAGTTAAACTGTTTTTGACTTTACTCGGGATGAATCAGGTGTATCTCACGGACTTGTCGACTAGACAAAGTACTTTGCTTTGTAAAGAGGAACACTCAGTTCTGAGGTTGGCTTTACAAGGAGAGGAATGGATTTGGGTGGCAACTACGGACTCATCCTTGCACAAATGGCCTGCGTGTGAGTTAGCTAGCTCAAAAACATTACAAAGAGCCAGCTCATTTGTTGCCGGATCACTGCCTTTTGCCCGTGCTCGAGCAAATATAGATGGCTCAGCCCCTGTATGTTATGCAGTACCTATTCTAATCCTTTTGATTACAAATTCATGCCTTTTTCTACACGTTTTCAGAAGGCATCTTCATGTTTTAAGTGCTTCACTTCCTCAGCTGATTTGCAGAAATTGTTTGCAATTACAGGTTCCTTTGTACACTCAGCCAACGTCAGTTATTCCCGGTGCTGCTGGCATTGTGCAGCATGCTATTTTGAATGATCGACGCCATGTTCTTACTAAGGTTTGCCTCTCATAGTATTATACTGTTTGTCTCATAGTTCATGTTGATCACCAAAATTTGAAACCATGCTGATTATTTATCCCAGCTAATAACTGCTGAAACCTTGTTATAGAGTCTTTTGTTGGTTACCCAAGCAGGACAAGTAATGCAGCATTTTATGCAGTGATTAATGTGCAATTTCAACTTGATACGTCATATAGGATGCGGCAGGCATTGTTAAGCGTTGGGAAATTACACGTGGGGCGGTGAGTGATGATTACGGAAAGGTAAAATTTCAATTACTTTAATCACACTTGAAGTGTTGAGCTCGTAATTGGTTAAGTAAATCTAGACACGGCGTATGCCTTTGGTAACTGTCTGAAGTGATATGGCGAGCTTGGGTTACTTATTACAGGTGAATTTCGAAGAAAAAGAGAAGGAGCTTTTTGAAATGGTGGGTTTACCTCGTCCCCACTTTGCTTGGAATTGTTGCATTGAAATTGCATGTTGATAATAAAGTTATCTTTTATTGGCGAAGTGGTTAAGTGCGACGTTTGTTTTTTAATTGCATACTTATCTTTCACAAGATGGATTATAAGTGTGGGATCTAATTTCTGCATATCAGTCTGAGAAACACCTAAACAGTCTATCAAAACTTTTTGCGGGGCGGTGTTAGAGTACCTGCAACATTAGCTTTTAGATTGTGACTAGTCTATGATCTACTTTTTGGAGTAGTTCTGAGCCTCACATTTGCATTACTGTTCATGAGGGATGTCATGTTTCAAGTTGGGACTTACCGCGGATGACACTTATTTGTGGCACAGGTGAGCATGCCAGCGTGGTTTACTATGGACACAAGATTAGGAAGCATGTCCGTGCATCTTGATACACCTCAGTGTTTCTCCGCAGAGGTTTATGCTGCTGATTTACACGTCCCAGGTGCTTCCGAAGAACTTAAGGTATGTTCCTGTGCATGCGCTCTACCCGATTTCATGCTTTATTTCGTCTAATAGCCGTAGATTTTTTTCAGACTATTTTGCTATGCATTCCTTTATTCACCAGTCTAGTTGAGCTGCATTATAGACCCTTGGAGGGGAATGTTGATGACCGTGTATTCGGATGCTCTCGTCTTTTATTGAGTTTGCTTGCCTTGATGCTTTCTAGTTATTGATTGTAATGGATAAGCATTGTTATCACCCTCATCTGTCGTGAGGTCGCCCCCAAAGTGAGTCATGTTAATGCTATTATGCTAGCTGTTTGAGTGTTTGCTTTGGAGCTCCGTTGTTTAAACAACTTCTCGTAGTAATTACATTTTTCTTCAATCTTTTTCCACTTGAACCTATCAAATTTTCCACTCATTCTCTCTTTACCCCCACTATATTCCGTCCATCCTGGTATAATTGTAAGGATTTTAAATTATTTTTACGAATGTGGATTCTTCTATTCACTTATACGTGGTGCATGAGGGTGAATACACAGTTGAATATTGGTCAAGAAACACTTCGTGGGCTTCTTGCAAACTGGTTAACTCGAAGACGTGCCAAGGCAGCTGGAGTAACCGCGATACCAAATGGAGATGCGTCCCCCATTCCGGATTCTGGACCTGGGGAACATGGTCCTAGTCGCCGTTCAGCTTTGGATGACAATCTTCATGAACCGAACAACCAGCAGACGCGTGTGTTTCCTTCATTTCAATTCTCAACTCAGGCACCTCCATCTATTATCACTGAAGGCTCTCAGGTTAAACCCTTCAGTTTCAGCATTTGTGGCTCTAGTCTAGATTTCTGGTCTAAACATGCAACTTTTACTTCTTTGCAATTGTTAAAAGATAGGTGATCACATCTGTTCTGTACACCAAATAGGTTTTTCCTAACTGTTTGCTAGTTATCTCCACATAGTGAAGAATTAACGTTTAATCTGGGAAAATTAATACATTGCAGTATGCTCCCCTATGGACTGTTAATTTTGCTTCAAATATCGATGTATGTGGGGTAATCAGCATTGCTAGAAGGTAAATCTCTCGATCCTTAGAGCCACTTGAATATTAGACTGTCATAATTTTGATTGTGACCTTATGTTTTCAGTGTGGTCTCTTGCAGGGTGGACCATGGAGGAAAAAAGCAACGGACCTTAATGGAACAGAGGACGAGAAGGATCTGCCAGGGTGGTGTATAGATTGTGTCCTTCACGAACGTCTCTCTCAGCGCGAGAATTCTAAGTATGTCGATCTGCGGGATTTTTGCATTTGAGATGTAACGTGCAACGCTGGTTATTCCTCTATTTGAAGGGACTGCCTTCTTTTTTGAGTTACGGTGGTTTAGACGGAAAAATAGCGAGTTTGGAAAAAAAAGAAGTAGAAGTACATATATTCGTCTTTTGGACTTAATGTTTATAGAATGATGTTTTGAATGTATTAAGTACGTAACGTAAGCCTTCTTTTGTATATAGGTGTAGCTTTTATCTTCATCCCTATGAAGGCCAAACAATCACTGTCCTCACACAAGGAAAGTTGAGTGCACCACGTATTCTTCGGATACACAAGGTGAGCTCCTTTATTCTTATGCTAAGTTGGTTGTCTTAGCAAAGAGTCTTTGATTGACGACTTCAGAATTTCAGAACTCCTCTCAAACTCAAGTGGATAGGTGATATAATATGTCAGAACAGTCACAATTTAATTCCTTTGAGGTCCATGTTTGAAATTTATTACTTTGGCGGCTGTGTCCGATTGTCCTCGAGGTCTGATTTTTCATCGTCTTTTGACAGATTAAGAATTATGTATCAGAAAAACTCAACTTGGAAAGACCCCTTGAAGAAAATATGCCAGAAACAAATGCTTCAGCGGGTCAATTAGTCAGTCAACAAGCTGGTGGAAATGGCAAAGGAAAAGGATCTAATGTGTTTAGGCCTGGCTCAAAGGGCTGGCCACAAGACTCCAAACCTATCGTGGAAATTTTGTGTAATGATCAGGTGAGTACTTAACAGTGTTTCCAAGAGCACGTAATTTGTCTTCAACGTGTGTTCCGTTGTCAAACAATAGTGGTCAACGTTAGCTTTTGAACAACTTAAGGTCTGTATCCTGATTGAGATTTTTCCATCAGCATTATTTGATATTAGTGGCATAAATATTGATTTCCCGGTTCTGCGCAGATGTGTTTATTGTAAGATATATCCTTGAATTGAGACCTGTCTAGGTAATGTTTTAGTTCTTAGAAACTGTTCTGTCTCCGTTGAACTCATTGTTCTTGTTCTCCTGTCCCAGGTGCTGGCATCTGAATTGAGTTTGGCGACTGTGAGGGCGTATATTTGGAAGAAACCTGAGGACCTATACCTTCACTATCGTATAGTACCCAGCCGTTAATTTATTCTTTGTAAACATAATTAAAATTTTAGTCGCTCATATTGTGCATGGCCTAGAATTATCCTCGGCATCATCAGGTTACATTGCAGTATCCTGCCTTGTTGACCAATACGACTGTTGGGAAGCTGATATTGAATGCTAATGGACACAAATCTGTTGGCTTTAGTTATTTCGAAATGATAGCTTTGTCGTGTAAAATAGCTGATTATTTGTCTAAGATAGTTAAGTCGAAGAGACCTGGGCTCACAATTCTGCACGTGACAATATTTCCTATTCAGATCCCTTCATCGCTGGATGCAATAAACCACATTCAGAGACAACTTAGCATCATTTTAAACTTGAGCCAAGTAAGAGGAATTTGCTTAAGGATTACTTTGTTGCTTGTCATATGAGACAAGGTCACTTTTCAGCCATGTTTTTAGGAATGAATGAGTTGGAGGCTTGATAGTTGAGGGTTGGCGTCAAGGGTTGTTAGTTCAGATAAAACCTGGAAGCTATGGAATAAGAAAATTGAACACAGTTTAGAAAATGATATGGAAACTCAAATGACAACTGTGATCGCATAATGTTTCTATCTAGTATTGTAAGAACGCTCATATGAACTTGACATTTTTAATGATAACAAGTACTTTTCTTTGGTGAAATTCTAGCAATTAATAAAGAAAAATATTAAATAGACCCAAGTTTTTACTAAATAGACCTACACATAGTGAAGAATATGGTAATTATGTTGGATGTGGTTGGTTTTCATTTGGTTTGGATCTAATGGTGGAGAAATGAATCTAGTGGTCATTTTTTATTTTTTATTTTTTTTATAATGGATGGGTCAATATAGTAAAAGCTTGGGTCTATTTAACATTCTCCTAAATAAATAAAGAATTTGCATTGTTTAAGTAGTCAATAACAATCTTCAAATCAAATTATTTCAGATTATTTAATATTAACTTATTGAAATAGTCAATTCACTTGAACGTTGATGGAAAAATAAGAATAAATTATAGAAAAAGAAAATAAGTAACACAACAATAATTTTTTTTAGGGAATTGTTAAATCAACCTAAGTATTTTACAAAATCAACCCACCCATCATCATTGGTTGCAAATCCAACCATTTTTTTCATCAGTTTTCAACCAATACTGATCCAGCAAAAGAGAATCTTTTGATGATGATTAGAACGGGTAGGTAAATTTAGTAAATACTTAGGTCAATTTAACAATCCTCTTTCTATATCACACAAGCAATAATACAAATCTACAAGTTCCTAAATCAAAAGTGAAACACACTAAGTAAATCATAGTTTAATGGTCCATGTCCTCCTCCTCCTCGTCTGATGCCTTCCCAAGGTTTAGGGGAATCAAAAAGGGATGCGGATCTGGTGACGTGGAAGCGAGGGCCCAACTCAGCACTCGGAAGGAGGGAGGGTGCCACGTCGTCACTGGTCTTGTCGCCTCATTTGGCGTCTTGGACGAACTCCGAGGACTCGGCCTGCGCTTCGCTTTGTTTTTTGTATTGTTGCTAATTCCTCGGTCTGTACTGCCTGCCTCTCTGGCTGCCTCCTTTTTCCTTTCCTACCCCCCTCACCTGCCATTGTGTCCACTGCAATTTTCGTAGCTCCCAATTCGTTGCTCTGTTACGCATTTGAGCTTCTTCTGCGCCACGGAGAGTAGTAGTAGTATCCTCTCTACCCCTGTAGCGCTGCCAACCATCGCCACTCGCCACGCTGCTGTAATTTCCTGTCATGGCAACTTACCAGTTCCTTGGCACGGTCGCTCTTGGTAGCCATGTCCACGGCCACGGCCACGCGCAGAATTCTGTCTTCCTTGCGTCATCGCCGCTGCGTGCTGATTGCTTGGGTTGTGGTTGTGGTGGGAGACTGTCACTCAAGGATGCTACTAAGTTTCGGTTTGGAAACAGAGTGATTGAGAAACGGGATCGGGGGATGGTGGTTGCGGATTTGCAGAATCCTAAGACAGTGAAGGGAGGTTGCGGTTCTGTCTTCGAGGACGTTCCTCACTTGACTGACTGGCTTCCAGACCTTCCGGTGAGTGAAATCCTTACGACCGATCCTTAAGACTTGCCTTTATTCTTGCTCTTAGTTCAAGTTCTGGAATTAAAAAAAAAAAAAAAAAAAACAAAAAAAAAACAAACAAAAATTAATGCTATCTAATGTCTGACGTGAGCTGCTGGTTGAATGGGAACCTGCCTGTGTGTCAACTCACTCGTTCTCATCCAGATTGTGTATCGTTACCACGGGACAGGACCAGTCCTTTTCAAATTCGCAAGTGGAATTTGAAGTAGGTCGTGATTAAGTCAATTATGAAAAGTTCATTGTGTCTTGCTGGTCAGTACGCCTTTTTCTTTCATATTCTCACCTTCTTTTACAACAAGCACGTCACGAATAAAATTGAAGTTATCATATAGAGCACAGGACTTTCTAGGTTACGCTGGGTGATTGATGATCTTGACCGTGGCGATGGTTGCCGGTGATTGCTTTCTGCTCCAGATATTTGGAAACCCCTTGAAGTTCAACCCAGCATATTCCGCTGTTAAGTGAGTATCGAAACATTTTCAGCTGTGGCAGTATTCGATTGGTTTCATATACAATGCTTGCTTTTTTTGAAACTTGAAGATCGTATTTTGGTACCACCAGGATACCCTTCCAACTTTAGATAGCAGTGACTGATGGAATGTAACCACCATGATGACGAAGCGGTTTCTTGAGTTGGTGCAGACAGTACTTTGTGGACGACGATGATGTTGTTGCGAAAGACGTAAGCCTCTAACAACTCGTTACTTCTCACTTTCCATGTGTCCTTTCAATCTGATTAAGATTTAATGTAGTTCAGTGTTTCAAACTCTTGACATTTTGTTCCCTGAAAGCAATCATCTCAACTTCTGTGTTCGTCTGAGTATTTGCTGAGGACTTAATTTTCCAGTGCTGCTTTCAGCATTTTTCTCACTGGCATTCATGGTGCTAGTGGTCCTACATATGTATTTTTCACTTGAGGCTTCTTCTTAATTGTGCGCGAAAAATATTAAGAGCAAATGCAACATACTGAAAAATCAAAGTGGGAACATGACAGATAGTGGTGACCATGGAAAATGCTGGGGCTGGTCTTCACTTTAGACGTGCTGGACCAAGAGACAAGGTTTGTCATCTCTGTACTTGTGAATAACTTCCGTTTGAAACTTTATATTCAATGTAATTAGGATGAATAGGACTCCATGTAATACTACCTTAATGTCGCTTTTCATGAAGCAGATTTTTGATTTGATTCAACCGACATGTGGTGGTAGTGAATCCCACACAGAAACAGCGGCACTAGCGTTATCAATTTGAAATCTTAAGCATGTATATAGGATACCAATGAATTTACTAACAGAGCAACCTTCTATTTTTAAAATTTTAATTTTTCTAACCTTCTCATGTGACGCTCCTGTAGATTTACTTCAGGTCAGAAGAGGTGAAGGCATGCATTGTTACGTGCGGTGGTTTATGCCCTGGTCTCAATACTGTGATCCGTGAGATTGTCAGTGGGCTTTGGTATCAATATGGCGTTCGGGAAATATACGGAATTGATGTATATTTCTTTACCATGCTTTCTTTCTTTCTATCTACTCAGGTTCATCTGCAGTGAGGCTTGTCCTTGAGGTTGGAGAACAATCATAGTTTTTCATGTTTAAGCTCATTAGTAAGGCATGCTGAGCATACACTTGGGTTGTCCTCATGATATTCGACTAAACTATGTTTTAAATGGCAGGGAGGTTACAGAGGTTTCTATGCACGCAATACAATTGCTCTAAATCCAAAAGTGGTGAGTGACATTCATAAGAAAGGTGGCACCATTTTGGGAACCTCACGTGGCGGCCACGATACGATGAGGATCGTTGATTCTATTGAGAACCGAGGAATTAATCAGGTGCATACATCAGTTCATATTGTCATATGCAAATTAATCTAAAACTTTATATGTGTGGAGTGCGTTAAAAGTCGCCCAGAATGAGAATGGGTAGTTCATCAAATAATTACAAAGCTCGTTAATGTACTTTTGATCTTTTCTTTTCTTGAAACAGCAGGGGTGTCCCTTTGTTACTGTCCATTAGGGTAGGTGGCCGTTATCGTAATTTTAGTGTATTTGAATACGTTTTGCTTTTGCAAAACTTTCTTTCATTTTACAATGCACTTCTGTACATCACAACACGTAATTTGTAAAGAGTTTGTTTTTCAGAGAGTGACAGTAGCGTTTCAAGGTTATTGAATTGGAGGCTCTTGAACGCTGGTACTTTGAATGGGCAGAGGAAGAGACAGTAATCTTACCTTTGTGTCAAACTTTCAGGTATACATCATAGGTGGGGATGGCACTCACAAAGGTGCAAAAGCCATTCATGAGGTGTGTCTTGCGCATCTTACTTCAATAATGTTGGACTTAAATGCTTTTGGTAGTTCTTGTTTGTTTTTATTTATTATTTTTATTTATTTTTTGTTTTTGTTTTGTTTTTGTTTTGTTTTTGTTTTGTTTTTTTTATGGAATTCAAAATTTTATTTATGAATGGCGCTTACAGCGTCAAGTGCAAAATGGTGAATTATCAGAGAAGGGCCATCATAGCGTAGCTGTGTATGTGTCACTAGATTCGGGAACTTTTTTCTGTAGTGTCAACTTAGATCTACCCAGACATAAATTTGTCTCTGTTCAAGCTTCCCGTCTTCCTTATTCTTCACTGTCAATTTTCGATATAAAATATGTTTCTTTGTGAAGTCAGTTTGCTGCTCGGAGATTTGCACCTGCTGATGACGCTTGACCTAGTCCGACTTATGTTTTGATTCCAGGAAATCATTAAGCGGGGTTTAAAAGTCGTTGTTGCGGGCATCCCCAAAACTATTGACAACGACATTGATGTAATGTGCTCCTTATAGTACAACACTTGAATTTTTTTTTACTACACATGCTTGCGTGCTTATGTCGCATGATGATAGCATCCCGTTGCTTATATATTGACCTCCTAGTCCTTGGGTTACTTGGAGATGAGAGCAGATAATTGATAAGTCCTTCGGGTTCGACACTGCCGTGGAAGAAGCACAACGAGCAATCAATGCAGCTCATGTGGAAGCTGAGAGTACTCATAATGGTGTGGGGGTGGTCAAACTCATGGGTCGTTATAGCGGTAATGCTCTGACTCTGTACATGTTTACTAATCCAATTCTGTGTTTTTACTTTGGTTAAGATTTACAGTTGAATTCAATAGGAACTTGTCATTGATGATCGTTGGATTTCGGATGATTCCAAATGAACGTATTCACTGACACGATTCATGGGTGCAGGCTATATTGCCATGTACGCTACTCTTGCAAGTCGCGATGTGGTAATTCTCTCAACATCTCGATTATTTATTGTTTGTCCTATTAAACTCTTAACATCACGATTAGGTTGTTTCTAACTTGAAGGCTTTTCACTTTTATTACGTGTTCCTTACGCTTGTAGTATACTCGGAAGGTATTCGTGCTCGACACGAGCAATCATGCACCACGGAGCTTCTCTTGGTTGTACGTGTATGTAGTTCCTGGTTCTTATGCACCATGGTTAATTTGGGGTATGGAAACTCGTTGCTCAGGACTGCTGCTTGATTCCGGAAGTGCCGTTCTTTCTGGAAGGGGAGGATGGCTTGTATGAGTTTGTTTACCGCAGGCTGAGAGATAATGGCCATATGGTGCTAGTTGTAGCAGAAGGTTCAGGGCAGGAGCTCATTGCTGAAAGCCTTGGTCCATTGGACAAGTTGAGTGATGCATCTGGCAATCGCCTTTTGCTTGACGTGGGTCTTTGGCTTTGTCAGAAGCTAAAGGTATCTTTCATTCTTTATTTACATTACAGACAAGCATGTCGTTTCGCTTCTGATTTTGAGAATGGTTCCTTTTATTCCTATTTACACTGTTGATAATTTTTTTCCTTGCAAGTCTTTAATGTATAGATGATTGTTTATCTGTATTTCCTAGTAAATTAATTTCTAAATCAGTACTTCTGACCTTGCAATATGAGATGAGTTTAGAATGGTAGATTATCGCAGAAATTTATTTATGTACCTACCCCACACCGGCTTCATATTTCAGGCTTCTGCTTTCGCTCTTGAAGCATTTGTCAACACATTATGTGGTGATTTCCTTTTAATGATCATAATTTGAATTGTCTATTGTACTGGACTTGAAGAATCCTACGTATTACATAATGCTTGTAAGTGTTTCCTCATTTTACTTGTAGTGGTTTTGTTGGAAGCTTACTCGGATATTGCCTACTCTTGCAGGAACATTTTCCCAAAGTTTACAACGATCCTATCACGCTCAAGTACATAGGTAATTATCAACAAGTTTGTCTGATGCATTATTAAAGAGAACTCTTTCGGTGTCCCCAAGATGTGTCGTTGCAAGTTGTGGGAAGTATGAAAAAGAATGAATGAAGCATATTTAGCTTTCTGATGAGGCTTGTACTAATAGCGTGTATACAAGACCCTACTTTTAATGTGGGCTATGGTTATTGTGGGCTGTAGTACGCTGAAAGAGCGCTCAACACACTAACAGTTGTGGATCCGTTTGGCAGATCCAACTTACATGATTCGAGCTGTACCGAGTATTGCATCTGATAATGTTTACTGCACCTTGTTGGCGCATAGTGCCATCCATGGTGCTATGGCTGGTTTCTGTGGATTCACTGTTGGCCCTGTCAATAACCGCCATTGCTACATACCAATTTCTGTAAAGCCATCACCTACCTTGATGAAAGGACACATTTCTGGTGTTTATTGCAGATGTTTTGTAAGGGAAACTTGGCAATTGAATCTGTCTTCTATGGAGTTTCATCTTTCAATAGGCGGAAAAGAAATTGACTTGGAAAGGCTTTCAGATTAGAAGAATGTTGTGAATGTCACACATCAAATGCAATTTTCTATTGATTTCGTACTAGACTTTTCTTTTCAAATTTCTAATCATTGGTACCTGGTGTGCATCAGCGAGCTGTTGAGAAACAGCGCCATGTAAATACAAGCGATCGTATGTGGGCTCGCTTACTGTCATCCACGCACCAGCCCAACTTTTTGCGGTACAAAACTGTTCTGAAGGAGAAACGGGACCATCAGCTAAAGAATGCGAAAGTCGACGATGTTAAACTAGACCAAAACCTTTCCGGACTGACTGCTTCACACAGCTTACCAATAGATTCTTAGAGCAAGTGTACTTATCTGGAATTGCTTTGGTGCGAATTATAGTTAATGTAAAGAGCCTTCAATGGTCCCATTGGCGCGAGTGCATTGGTCATGATGATAGTTAGCATTACCTCATGGATCTAAACCATATCAACTTATTATAAATGTCCTTTTTCGCATACCCACGCAACAAGGTTATTGAGACCCTGCCCATAGTTGGACGGGCCATAGTATGGTGGTAAGCACCATGCACTAATATGGAAAATGACCCCAATGAAACATATATAGACTATAACTGCAAAACCTAAGCATGGTTACTTGTGATCATTTCAACCATCATTTGTTGCCAAACTTGCAGTTCTGCACATGTACATGTAATTTTTGATTTTTTCTAATACTGCGCACTGTTGACAGAGTTCAATTGAAAAGCAGGTAAATCAAGAGAGAGCGTTGAGTCCTGACAACGAGCTCACAGAAATTGCTCCACAAAAGCCCTCGATAATTTCCAGTACTCCTGGAAATTTAACAGGAATGTCAGAGAAGACTTTTAAAGTGTATATTCTTCAGTGGTTGCTGCAATGTCGACATCTTTGAAAAGACCATACATGGTTAGTTCTGTTAGTAGATTTCATCATCTTTGCAGGCGTATATCAGTAATAGTGATTTGGAGTTATTAAAAATGAAAATATTGCAATGTTTATCCTGAGTCTCTGATGACGGGCTACTTCCAAGTGTGTACATATCTTGAATAACTTGCAATGAAACAATCAATTGTCACGACACAAGTTTGATTCCAATTATTGTAGTTCATAGTGCAGACCTCTCTGACCCGAGTGCCTGAGGTGACCACCTAAGAGAACTGTTCTTGCCGTTTCCGTATCTAGGAACTTGAAGGAAAGCTTCTCTTTGATGATTTTATACTCCCTGTTTTCTGTTTCCTCTATTCTCTTCTCTTCAATTACATCAGCAAGTTAATTGCCAACGTTTACTTCGTAGCCCCTGTAGTTCTTTTCTGTATCAGTCAAGTCCATGAGACACTGGGCAGTCATGTCAATAGGCTCGATGTGTGTCTAAGTATGTGTATGCCCCACCATCTATACGTTTTTTTTACTTCTCAAGATTACTAGCAGAAGGCCACACATTTTTGTGGAGGCAATGAATGTGAAAAAACTAAGTTAAATTAATTTAATGTCATAAGAAATAACTTTCAAAGAAGGAGAACCATACTAGAATGATTATTGTCTATCCGTATATTCTTAAATTAAATCTGAAAATTTCTTTAAAACTTTAATTTTAAACAAAAAATCGTAAATACAAGTTGTTATGCTAAATCAAATGTCCACATTTATAAACTACAGTTTTACTACAAACTATGCTAAGCCAATCACGTTAAAATTTAAGATATTTTCTTATAATTTTGTGATTAATATTTAATCTAAAATTTTTATTTTGTGAAATTATATATATACATACATATATAAAAATTAAAGGTGTTTTTTTTATGAATTTTTATCCATCCAAATGATTAAACATATATTTGTGCATCTATCCATTTATTTGTATGTTTATGCATCTTACAATTTATCAATTTTTTTGACATGTCTTACAAGCTTATCAATCTCCATTGTATTGTTATATATATATATATATATATATATATATATTTCCTTAAAGTTCTAAGAAATGTGAGGAAATGTCTATTGAATCATTTTAATGACCTTTTAAAAGATTACAAAGAAACTAAAGAGCTAGAAAATCTAAAGTATATGACCTAATGAATATCAACTTTGTAATTTTAAACACTAAGATAAGAAAAAATTAATAAAGAAGAAACTTTTGTATTAATACATCAATTTTAAGGAAATTTTGCAAGGCATTGGTTGTCAATTTTTTCATAAAATTTTCTCTAATAATATCTAAAATTAAATTTAAAAAATAATATCAAATTTATCAATTCACAAATATATCCAATTGAATAAACAAAAAAAATTAAACATAGAACCTAAAAAAAATAGAAGAAGGGATTTAAAAAATAATAATAATAATAATTTTTTTTAATACTTGTATTGACCTTGGAAGGGTATTGAAAATAAATAGTACCATGAGGGCTTGTTATTAATTTAGGTAGAAATCCAAGGCACGCATGATAAATAATCTGCTTGAGACTTATGTGAAGATTTATCAAGGCAGGATGAAGAATAAGCCGGATGAATGGTGGATCCACCTTCGTTACTTTTCGGCGTGCTCTAAGTTTTCTTTAAAGTAAAAGCGATTCCGCAAACCCCTAAACCCCAAGCCCTAATTGGGACGCGAGAGTCGAGGTTTGGGTGAAGAGAAAAACTGTGAAGATCGAAGGTTTGTGTTTTGCGTGGGGGGGTTTTGGATTTTTCTTCGAGCTGCAGTTGCAGCTATGGCGACTTCGAAGCGGAAAGCGGAAGAGGATGCTGAGCGCGACGACCCTGCTGGGAAGCTAGCGCGGCTGCCGGAGCCTGAAAACGATGTTGAGGATGATGCTGCAGCTGCTGAAGACGGGGAGGAGGAGCCTGCAGCCAACGGCAATGGAAATCGCTATGTCGCGTGTTTGCATGAGGTTTCGTATCCCGAGGGATATGATCATGCGAATGGAGGAGAGCGTCTGGCTCCGGCCAAGCCTGCGAAGGAGTATCCGTTCACGCTTGATCCGTTCCAGAGAGAGGCCATTCGGTGCCTTGAAGCCGGAGAATCTGTCCTGGTAAACTTCCTGTGATACCTTCTGCTGTCGTTGAGGTTTTTAATTGTGTGGATTGGTTGTATCCTCCTCTGTAATTCAGAACATGTTGGTTGTGCCCCCCGCGTGAGCTGGAAATTATGCCCTGGAACTTGCATTGTTAACGTAGTTTATTCCATATAATCACTCAAATGTTGTCTTCATAGTTTCGCAAGTCAAGACACTTTGAATTCGAAGTTCACAAGTATGTGTACTCTGGTTGCCCTCTTAAATTATGTTGCAGTCATAATTTCTGGCTGGTTATCGCTGGATCCAACTTTGGCTCTATCTTTCGCTTCTCCATCAAGCAGACGTATCTATGAGTGATTCGGTTTTTAACCTTTCTGCTGTGTTTCTCAAGTGTCACAAACCGGGGAGCTTGAGGTTGGTGTTGTTTATTCGAGGCAATTTTCTATTCTAGCCATGTGCTACCCGCTGTTTTGTTTCTTTTCGTGACAGAGCAGCGACCTTGTCTTATTGTGTTATTGTTAACTCGCAATTGGCACATTTGTTCAGCATCGTACTTGAACTGCAGTATATATTTTGGATTTTCCTTTTAACTAGGATTCTATGTGCTTTGCACTAATGCAAGGGACTTATTCATCTTGCACAGTTTCAAATCTGGATATTTAATGTTTATCGAAGTACAAGTTGACACGGCAGAAGCTTGATAGTCTTAATAGCTGATGAAAGAGTTTTACAAACATTAATATCTGATGACTGAGATTACAGGTCCTGAAGTAAGAGTCGGAGCTTGGATGCTGCTGAAGTGTGCCTCATATTTTGATTTTCAAAGCAATTCGGCGTTAGATTATTTGCAAGATAGAGCTTCTTATGATTCCGTTGTACACAGGTATCTGCACACACATCTGCTGGGAAAACGGTTGTTGCGGAGTATGCTATTGCCATGGCACTTCGTGACAAACAGAGGGTGGTCTATACCTCTCCTATTAAGGCTTTGAGTAATCAGAAGTATAGAGAGATGTTGGAGGAATTCACTGATGTAGGCCTTATGACTGGAGATGTGACGATTTCTCCAAATGCTTCTTGCCTGGTATGCGATCCCCGTTTGTCATTCACCAAACCTATTTGAGTCTTAGCTTTTGGAGCTATATATTTGAAGTGCTTTGCTTTCTCTAAATTAAGTTTTTAACCTAGTATATTGTAGACTGCACATTTGATTCTTCATGTGCTCAGTGATTTGGTATTGTAAACTGAAGATTTAGATTGAACTTGTATGGACTCCAGGTGATGACTACAGAAATTTTACGAAGCATGCAATACAGAGGTTCAGAGGTGAACAGAGAAGTGGCATGGATCATTTTTGATGAAGTTCACTACATGCGAGATCGGGAAAGGGGTGTTGTGTGGGAAGAGAGCATTGCAATGGCACCCAAGAATGCGCGCTTTGTGTTCCTATCTGCTACTGTACCAAATGCTAAGGAGTTCGCAGATTGGGTAGCGAAGGTGGGATTCATCTGATGTCTGTTTCTACCTATTTTTCTCCAAAAAACGATGTGATGGATATGTCTTGTATTTGTTTTCCGAGATATCACTTAGAGATTTCATTGAATTTAATTGAAGTTAATAAGAATGTAGCGTTGTAAGATATGATAGGTAAAGCTTGGTTAGATATGGCACTGTCTTTTGGTTGTAGAAGTTAAGTTACTTGGCAGGTTTGCACCCGAACATGATCTTTCACTGTAAAAGTCTGCATACAGTTGTGTTTTTTTTGCTGGGTTTTTACATGCCTCATCTGGTAACTGCAGGTACACAAACAGCCCTGTCACATTGTATACACTGATTACCGACCCACTCCACTTCAACATTATATTTATCCAGCTGGGGGTGATGGCTTATACATGGTTGTCGATGAAAAGGCTGTTTTTCGAGATTCCAGCTTTCAGAAAGCTGTAAATGCTCTTTCGTCTAATGCTGGAGGTGATGGTTCCAAGAAAAACAATGGAAAGACACAAAAAGGAGGGAAGGGTGGAGTACCTGCAGAACCAAGTGATATGTTCAAGATTGTCAAGATGATCATGCAGCGACAATTTGATCCTGTTATTGTTTTCAGTTTCAGTAAACGCAATTGTGAAGAGAACGCTAATCAGGTTCATAATTGGTCATTTCAACCAATCTCGCGTTTGTACAGTAGCCATATGTTGTTTATTTATTTGTTATAGCAAATGTGAATTCCAAATTTCAAAGGAATTACCGAAAGATTATTTTTCAAATTAAATAATATATTTTCTTCCAAATTATATATATATATATATATATATATATATTTCTATTTTGTGAAGTTGTTGGTAAAATATAATAAAACTGTTAAACATTAATACACTTGCTTTTTATTTTATTTGTTTGGTTTATTCTGAATGTTAGGATTATCTGTTAATAATGCGTTAGATAAAAATAATATTAGGCTAAAGCCAATTATAGGGCTTTAAAGTTTACACTGAAAACATGATATAGTAGATAATTTAACTCTTTTATAATTTTTTATATTATTTTCTCGAGATTTTTTTATTTTATATATTTTATTTTTATTGATAGTGGAATATGTTCTAATACAAGTATTTGACTGTGCTGTTTTGTTTGAGCTGTATGTTGATGTGCCTGGAATACGAATACGCAGTCTGCAATGCACACTATTTTGGTTTATGTTACATAGAGTTTGTATTGGTGCTGATCATTGCTGAACTCTTCGCTGCAGATGGCCAAGCTAGATCTCAACGATGAGAACGAAAAGAAGTTGGTGGATGGTGTATTTTGGAATGCTATGGACAATTTATCGGATGATGACAAAAAGCTTCCTCAGGTGTATACTCTTTCTTGTAAACATTTCAAGAGCTGTCGATCCATCACAAAATTGTTGGATTTTACCTGACTACATCATGCGCCACATGCTTTTGTATTTGATTTTTTCTGTAATGAGCATGATACTGTTTTTCTTTTACTTTTGCCCTGAGGGTATCTTTAACTCAGCATTTTACGAGCTGTTTCTTGTTCTGGGAGTGTCCAGTTATTGAGGGAGTTTTGTTGTAAATTTCTGAATTATTTATTGCAATATTTCAGTACTATCTAGTAGCCATGTTCGGAGTTGGAGCCTTTTGACCAATGATATGTCCCCACATACTTGATTATAAACATGTAAAGAAGATGAAGAGGAAGAAGAAAAAGGAAAATGGTAGGATGTGTTAAGCGGCTGAGAATGTTTCTGCAAAATTTTGAAATCTGACCAGGATCTTGCACTTAAATCAGGTTTCTCATCTACTTCCATTACTGAAGCGCGGAATTGGTGTGCATCACTCTGGCTTACTTCCAATTCTTAAAGAAGTTATTGAGATTCTATTTCAAGAAGGTCTCCTCAAGGTGATTGCTTGTACCTCATTCCCTGAGGTTTTTTCGTTTCACGAAACAAACTTCGGCCAATTCCATAAGTAGTGGTTGTGTTTTTGTTTTCCATTTACGTATTTTTTACTAGTTAACGTGCCTGCTCATTTCTTCGCAAGTTTTGGTGTATATTAGAATCTGATACTTGATGGTTTATTCATGTGTGAGTCGTACTGGCTGTCTAAAAGATTTCCACCTCCAATTTTAGAAGTGTCATAATGGCTTTTTCGAGAAAATAAGTTTGTGATACTACTGATGTGAGTTGCATTCAATTCAGGTAAGTGTTAGGAAAGGAGCTGGTGGATAACATTGTCTTTGTGGTGGGCAGTGCTTATTTGCAACAGAAACATTCAGTATAGGCTTGAACATGCCAGCCAAAACTGTTGTATTTACCAACGTTCGTAAGTTTGATGGGGACAAATTTCGATGGATTTCCAGTGGGGAATACATTCAGATGAGTGGTCGTGCTGGACGGCGTGGACTGGATGATCGGGGTATATGCATTCTCATGCTTGACGAGAAGCTTGAGCCCGCCATTGCTAAAGACATGATCAAAGGGGCTGCAGATCCTTTGAACAGGTGATCGCTATTTTTTTTATTTTACATGGTTTGTTTTCTGCTAAATAATTATCGAAAAGGCTGGGGCGTGGAATACATTTGCGTGAATCATATGTTCCTTCTTTTTTCATTATCACTTTGCCCTTTACTATAATTCTTGTACAGTACGTTTCTAGCACTAAATTGACTTGTGATGACAGTGCGTTCCATTTGAGTTACAACATGCTGCTCAATCAGATGCGGAGTGAAGAAAGTAATCCGGAGGAGCTCCTCCGACGGTCTTTTCATCAGTTTCAGTGTGATCGTGCTTTACCAAAGCTTCAGGCAAATTGCTTTTATTTCTCCTCTGTGATTCTGGTTTCTTGAACTAGATACTTGCTTATGAGATCGCGTCAGTGACATGATATATTTGGTTGTGTCTTTTCATAATGACGATGTCAGCCTTTTATGATCCCTTATTTCTCAAAAATCTCTTTGGAATCTTGTCTGAGTTGAAATTAGTTGATATCTACAAGTTCGTTAGAAGATTATGGAGATCTGAGGGTTATATTTAAATTGGAAGGTTTATTTTTGTGTAGAGCAGAAACGGGTGAAAGACATGGATGAGGAGCGTCAAAACATAGTGATTGAAGAGGAGGATCAAGTTAAAGACTATCGCAATTTATTAGAGCAACTCTATAGTTTAAGAGCAGACATTCGAAGCATTGCTTTTGCTCCCCGTTATAGCTTACCCTACTTACAACCAGGTTATCTTTCCCCGTCGTCCACCTCAAGCACACGTTCTAAAGAGTTGGTTTTTGTCTTTCTTTTTATGTTACGTTAAGTCTTTCAGGAATTCAACCTGCATTGCTCAACAGTATTTAATGTTTGAATGAATGACAAGTCGTTATTACCTTCAAGTACGATGGTTGAGTAAGTTGTGAATCTTAAATGAAGTGGTTACATCGCTAACTTTGCTTCTTTTGGCCAGGTCGCTTGGTTCAAATAGCACGAGCTACAAATCAAGATGACCTCACAGTTCCTGTCAAAAAGGTTACCCCTGTATGGGGCGTTATCGTCAACTTCGAAAAAGTTCAAACCGCGGCCAAAGAGTCCTTTGATGGAGAGAGTCAAGGTCCTAGTGAAACTAAGTTCAAGGTGGATATACTGGCGAATTGTAAAACTGTTGAGGATGAAGGTCGAACCAAGTTAGTGCAACCTGTTTCTTTGAATGAAACAGGCGAACCTGCGGTTGTTTCTCTGCCACTGAATCAGGTTCGCTGACATAGAACTATCCTAGTGTATGTGTTGTATTGGTTACAATAAGTAGCGCTTGTATTTCAAGATCTGTAGTTGTGTTCATAGTCTTGAATTTTAGGTTAGTGAAGCTGCTCTCTCTCTCTCTCTCTCTCTCTCTCTCTCTCTCTCTCTCTCCCTCTCTCTCTTTGATTCTTGTTGTATGTCTTGATGACCGTTGTTTGAATGCCCACCTCAATCTTCAAGTGTAGCCATAAATTGGATTTATGAGTGCATACATCTTTGCTTAAACGACCTCTCCTGGAGTGGGGTTGTGCTTCAGATATGTGCTCACTTCACAAATCCTCGCAATAGCATCAGTTCGATTACCTTGTCCTCTTGTTTAAGCAGTTGGGCGACAATCCTCAAATGATTCATAATTTGGTTATTGTGCAGATCGAGCACCTAAGCGTTGTCCGAATATTTATTCCGAAGGACTTGCGACCTGTTGAAGCTCGTGAAAGATGTCTGAGAACAGTTATTGAGGTGTTGCGGCGCTTCCCAGAAGGGCCGCAGTTGCTGGATCCTGAAGATGATATGGAGGTATTTGTGCAAGGAGTTGAGGGCCAATTGAAGAGAATGACGTTCACTGCTGCTTTTATATTTTTGTTCAGTGTAAATGTTCCTGTGTGGTATCTGGAAGAAGTAGAGGTTGGGTGTTCATCATACTCTTTAAAGTTGAATCATCAAGAGCTTTTGGGATGTCTTGCGCTGAGTGCATCTGTCCATGCCCTATTGGTGAATTGCAGCTCACTGCTGAGTGGCCACTTGTTATTTTTCATCTCCTCAAGTCACAATTTTATATTTAATCCGCAGGTAAAAAATGATTCATACAAAAAAGCAGTACGGAGAGCAGAAGCAGTTGAAGCTTTGTTAGAAAAGCACGCATTGGCAGATTCGCCAACGTTGGAACCCAGATTACGTGCTTTGGGACAAAAAGAAGCTTTGACATCAAAAATACGAATAGCCCGTAAGGATGTCCGTGCAGCAACTACTTTAGTCTTCAAGGATGAACTTAAGGCAAGGCGTCGTGTGTTGAGGCGATTGGGGTAAGCATTCACTAATAGTTGTTGCTAATTGTGGTCTGGCATAGTCGCAGAGACGCCGTTTGTTCGCTCTCATTTCATGCATATGCTGCCACTAAAGTTGTCCTATTCACTAAAAATACTAATGTAGGTTTTGACTATGAGACATAGTTTATGATTATGAGCTCGATAATAATCTCCCCAAATCTTATTCCCTCGTGTTAACGTTTTGGGAGCACAGATATGCAACAGCGGAAGAGGTGGTAGAGCTGAAGGGCAGGGTGGCATGTGAAATTAGCAGCGCTGATGAGCTCGTTTTAACAGAGCTTATGTTTGGTGGAGTCTTCAACGATAGCACTGTGGAGCAAATTGTTGCATTACTTTCATGCTTGGTATGGCAGGAAAAGCTCAAGTCAATGGCAAAGCTTCCAGAGGAGCTTGCAGGCATATATGCTCAACTTCGGGAGGTTGCCCGGCGTGTTGGCAAAGTTCAAGTTGAATGCAAGGTAATGATACTCCAACGGCCTTTTTTAAAAATATTCAGCTTGTGTAGGTGCATGATCTAGTTAGACTTGAAGGTAAATGTATTTTTCTGGTACAAGAGACAAGCTTCAAGGCCTTGGAGCTTTTTCACTTCTTCCAGTGTATCAGACCACGTCATGTATGTATCGAGCCTGGTTTTCTGTACTTATTAAGAGTGCGTGATCGTTTGGCAGATGGCCGTAGATGTCGAAGAGTACGTGAACTCATTCAGACCGGATATAATGGAGCTGGTCTACGCTTGGTGCAAAGGCGCCAAGTTCATTGACGTCATGAAGCTTGCTCAAGTCTTTGAAGGCAGTCTCATTCGGGCGCTGAGACGCTTAGAAGAGGTCCTCCAACAACTCCTACTGGCTGCTCGTGCAATTGGCGAACTTGATCTCGAGGCTAAATTTGAGGAAGCATCAACTAGGATTAAAAGAGATATTGTGTTCGCGGCCTCATTATATTTGTAATTTACTACGTTAGAATGAGCTACTGGTCCCTAAACTCCGCGTATTGCTTCTTCTTGGGAAGATTACCTCATTTAATCTGTAATTCTCTCTATCGAGTAACGCTTCCTGTGTCGTGACATGCACATCAACATTGAGCTCCTGATATTAGCTACCAACTAGTGAGCAAGTGAATATTTGTCGCTGCGTTCGTGAAGTGTGTTTATGAATGAGGAAGGTCAGGTGCACTGCCTTGAGGATAGTGATCCAGTGAAAAGTGGAAACTCATGAAAGGAGCATTTTTATGTCAAGGCTGACTGGAAGCCGGGCGTGAATGAGATTCAGAGCGTTAATACACCATGTTTTAAGTAGCATTCATTTTGAAAGAAACTAAGTCGCTTCATTGAGACTTTTCCATGATATACTTGTCAAACTGCCCATTCTTCTTACTAATACAACAAAGGAAGATTATGTCCCAGGTGACGGGTAGTTCGGCATTTTTTTCGCTTAGCCCAAACCTTCAACAAACTCTTTGTACTGTGAATTCTACCTTAGAGACTTATTGAGCTGTGGTTATAGTTCTTTGCGATTTATAAATTTGCAGGACCTGTAAGTATTGAATTGTATGTAGAGTGTAGTGCTTCTCTTGCAGGATTCTTCACCTGGTAAATTTGCAGGCTGTAGTTTCTTTCTTTTCACTGCAGGCATAATGGAGCTTTTGAACTTGATACTTTTGGCCAACAATTCATTGGAAGGTTTGACGCTGCGTTTACAATCGTGGATCTGAACTACCAAGTGTTTGTAACTATATTCCACAATTTGTCCTTTTTACATGGTGGACGTAAGATGCCAAAATCATTATATTTAATATTCTACAAAACATGCAAAACCTCTGTAAATAGCCCTTGATATATTCAATGAATTTTATATCAATTAACTATATCTTTGAAAGCTTGAAAACATGTTACAAATGTAAAATTTGGCACTCAATTGGTCACATTATATTGTCTTTGTCATTTTTATTAAATTTATCTTAACTTTTACAAATTAGTTGCAATAATAAAGTGACATTACATTTTATTATTTCTTGATTTTTTAAATAAACAATTATAATACAAAGTAATGTTGCATTCGGATGTCCTTTTTAAGTTGGTTAGATTTATTGAGTCATTTAGAATTAATGAAAACTCGTAGAGCAGATTTGAGGCAAGGACAAACCATATAAAAGACATTTTGAGTGCCTCCATAAGCATTATAAACTACCTCAATGATAGAGAGTTGTATTATTACAACAATTAATAATAAGAATAAAACATCTCATTTTTGGATGTTTTTTATGATAATTTTGTACACTATCAAATGATAAGAAATATAAGCTCAATTAGATTTAAAAAAAGAAATTAAAAAAATGATCATGTATTATTTATTTATTTATTTATTATTTAGTTATAATTTATTTGTCAAATGTCTCTTTGCAAAATTATCAACTTGTGAAAAGTCAAAAATAACAATTATAGATGATAACTATGATTAATAAAAAAAAAGTGTTTTTTAAATAAAACAATGTATTATGTTATTACAAGCAAACTATGCTAATGGAAAAAGAGTTGTCCAATCATCTTTATGGTAGTTAATGATACATTTCGAATATTACTCCAAAATTTGATTCATTCAATTTTTTTGTCTCTTTATTTGAACATGGAAAGTTGAAGATAGTTTTATGTCCACCTTCAATATCTTGAAAAATATTCTCTAAAACCTTCATACAAATTGAGTTCTTCTATCCAATATAATATTTTTTGGTAGTTTTTGATAGCAATAAATATTATTAATATATTTTTAATATAATATTTTTTAATCTTTCTAAATATTTTTTAATCTTTATAAAAAAAAATCTTTCTACATAATATGTAATGATTATTAGCATTTAAATTGATTATTTTAAAATTTACTTAATAATATTATATTTTATCTTAATAAATAAATATATATATGTATATTTTTATATTTTCATTTATATATATATATATATATAATTAATTAATTTATGATTTAAATTTTATATATAAATAAAGAAAAATATTAAATAATTTTTTATTTTTTGTTATCAAACATTATTATACAAAAGACATATGTTTATATAAATCTCTCTCTCTCTCTCTCTCTCTCTGTCTATATATATATATATATATATATATATATATAAATATGTATTATCTATACTAAATTATATTATCTTTATAAATAATTAAATTATTTAGAAAAAAATAAAAAATAAAAAATATTATATTAAAATATAATCATCTTTAGTCATTTCAACACCTTTTTTTTTATATTTTGGTCTTAATTTAGGAGTCATCAAGTTGTTTATAATAGGTTTTAATCAAATTAGTTTTTTTTATTCCATATCTATTTTTCTCTCTTTTAGTGATATATATATATATTTTTTTTTCATAATTTTTTCTTTATACATATTTTTAACTAAGAGGCTTATAAAAATGAGTCAATATTATCTTCTAATTTAGTTATTAAATGTAGAGATAAAAATATAAAATTAAAAAATTAGAATTTTTTTAAAAATAAAAATGAAATATTTTAAATATAAGTTTTTTTAATATATATATAATAAAAAACGTTTTAATAAGAAAAATTTTAGTTGAGCATTGATATTGTTGACACAAAGAAATAGATAGTTAGAGCCATTTTTAGGAAGTTTCTAGAAGTTTTTAGAATTAATACTAGATTTGTGGTCTATGTAAGATCCACCATAAAATGTTCCAAAAGGTCTTAGGGTGGTTATTTAGATAGGATCTATTACTAGAACCTTCCAAAAGAGGTAGTTATTTTAGTAGAATCTACTATTAGGAATATTCTAGAAAGTTCCAAGATAGTTGGACAAAGTATAAATATGACCAATTGAGGCTATTTGGGCATTCAATCTAGTATAGTTTTGATTACTTTCTTTAACTAAAGTTTGATTTATATATATTTTTTTATTATATTATTCTATTATCTTTTTTTTTTGTTTTATCTTTCATTATTCTATTTTATTTTGTTTGAATCTATTCTGACTTATATTGTGATATAATTTATATTATTGTAGATTCAAAGAGTTTTAGATCTTAAAAAAATTTAGTCCTACTTCAATAGTATCAGAGCAAATATTAATGTGTTCTTTAGTAGTAAGTTAATAGCCACCAACTAATTCGAGGTCAATTGTTATGGTTATACTAGGTATTGTTTTGGGGCTACAATAGACTATTTTATAAAGTCATATGGAAAAGAAGAAGATGTTTTAGTAGCAGAGTCCTCCAAAAAAATTGCAACATGGGAGATATAACAAAGCTATCCTAGATGGAGGCTCAAATATATCACCTCCTAGCCTAGATAGCTACTTTGTAAGGACAAATGGAAGCCTTTAGGACAAAGAAGTTGACATCTGTTAGGTTGAAATTGAACAAGCCATATACATATTTTGAAACTTCAAGTTAAGAAGATATATGCCAATGGCTTTTTAATATGCAACAATATTTATAACTATCTAAGAGAAATACCACCAAAAGAATTATATATGCAAGTAGCTATTTGATAGATGTGGCAACTATTTGGTGGCAACATCAAATTCAAAACTATAGAGCTCAAGGTGAATTTTGTAACTAGGAGGAATTTGAGACCAAGCTTAAGAATCAATTTTGGCTCATAAGTGCAAAAAAGTTAGGACATTGTCAAGAAGATAAGCCTCTTCAACAAAACATAGGATCTTTGATTATCAATAGATTATAAGAAGGTACAATGTTGTCTCAAATAAAATCAAGTATAAAGAACAATTCAAAGGCTAGGTAAATTTTATAGATTAATTTTTTTTCTTATACTAGGATGCATTCAACGCTTAGCTCTATTCTCAAATTAATTTTTTTTTTACTAAAATATCTATAAGTCCCTTATTATTAATTCAATTTAGATAAAATTTAGCTCCTTAAAAAATTAAAAAAAAAAATCCAGTACATGGCATAAAAAATTCCAAACTAGTCTTAAAATTTGCTACTCAAAAATCATAACAATCTCCTCCCTTAAATTTGCTCAAACTTTCCTTGTCACAACTATATTTTTTACATACTAAGGCTTATTAGAAAGCTCACAATTATATCTAACTTTCTTTCAAATATCAATACAAAATATAAAAATGCAAGAAATAGCATAGAAAAATTCAAACTAGTGTTAAATCTCTTCTTCCAAAAACTCTAGCGATCTTTTACCTACAAATTTGTTTGAATCTCTTTCTTTATAGCTCTATTTTTTATATGCTATAGCTTGTTAGAAAGCTTAAAAATATATCTAGATTTTTTTAAATATCAATACAAAAAAATAAAAATATAAGAATTGGCATAGAAAAACCCAAACCAATATTGAATCTCCTCTTTCAAAAACTCCAACGACCCCTTTTTTGCAAATTTGCTTGAATTTCCCTCTTCACAAATCTACCTCTTATGTGTTATAGCTTATTAAAAAGTTCACTATTAGATCTAGCTTATTTCTAAAAATCAATAAAAAAAAAACGAAAAATAGCTTAAAAAATCCAAATCAATGTTGAATTTTTCTTTCCAAAAATTCTAATGAAAAAAAAAAAAAAAAAAAAAAAAAACTACTTAATTCTAAAAATCTTTTCTTCTAACCTTCTTCTAATATCTACCTTGAACTACTACATAGTCGAGTATCTATCTTAAAAGACAATATTCTCAAGCTCAAATAATACATTCATGCCAACATTCTCTTATTCTAAATCCTATTCAAATTTGTAAATATATTAGCATTATGTTCCTCTTTTCCTACTATTAAAATTAATTACCCTTCAAATAACTTTGATGTATTTAAATTAAGAGCATCACAATACTTACCCCCTCCAAACTTACATATATTCTACTTGAAGATTTTAATTCACTTTCTTACAATTCTAATCTTCAATAGTGTTCTATCTAATTCTTGAAGAGAATAAGTTATATTATTATGTACTTCAACTACCACATAGGGTCCAAACCAACACCATGCAAACTTATGAAGAGTAGAATATTGATGCATCAAACTACTACCATAAATCAAAATCCAATTGTCCACTTTAATTGATTTAGGCCTTAATTGATGAGTTTTATGAAATCTCTCTTTGTTGTTCAACCTTGTTGCCTTAAGCTTCTTTATAGCAACTTCATGATTCTTGAATAATCTTTCTAATTAGTGAATTTGAAGTTCCAACAATCTCTCCTTATCAATGCCATCTTTCCAAGACAAAAACAACTAAGAAAGAATTTTTTGTAGGTATTAAGGATTTTTGTTCCAATATCAATTCCATTGGCATATAGTCAATAATTATGTTATGAATAATTTTATCTATTTATAAAATAAATAATAAAAGCCTAGGCTACAAC